CGGAACCGCGACGCCGCAGCACAGAGACCTGCGACATGTTGCACCCGGTCCAGCTCGTCACAAATGCAGTCACCATACACCACCGCTGCCTCAATGCTCGCACTGGGCGATAGGTCCAGCAGCTCTATTCCTGGACAGGCAAATTCAAATGGGTCTACAGCTGGCTGTTTCTGCCATCATTGCTTGTCCTACGTCCCTCGGCCGCACTACATGTATGCAAAGAATTGCGGAGGTGCAAAGACCTCCACAGTCATGTTGAGTGTGCAGTGTGCAGAACAATGCCATGTCAAATGTGAACTTGGAGGGAGTGAACATTTGAGTGCGTGTGCCGAGGTTGATGTAGCGCTGGTGAGCTTTCACTTGCCTTTCTCTCACTTGCTATACTTGGCTTTACTATCTTTTGCTTGCCTTTTGTGCTTGTCACCATGTAATAACATTGGCACGTGCCTGAACGACGTGCAAGACCGCGCGGGGGGCAGGCTGTCACTAAGTTGCATTGCAGTCAAACTTGTATGAGAAGGCTGGACGGTGGGTGTCCCAAAGAGCCACGACCGCACTGAGTTGCAGATGCCTTTGGGTCTATTCTATGACCAGTAAGGCCGTGGATGATGATCGTTCAGTTGCAGGCCTTGTCTTGTCCAAAAATTCAAAAAGAGTTATGTTCTTGTTGACTGACTGTGAGATGACCAGTAATAGGACAGACCCAACATATGCATGAGAAGAGCTCATCTGCCTGATTGCGCCAAAGACCCCAACACGCGACTTGCATCTGTTGTCTATTTCTTGGTGAGAAAACCGAGTAGAACTGGAGTTGGGAGGGGCTGTCTCAGGTTCCTGAGAGAAACATGGCAAAACGCTTCAGTGTTTGACGTCAATGTTATCAAGACATGAAACCCAAAGCCTGACAAGTCCTGTGTGTTTCACAAGTCCTGTACGCTCACATGATGTTCGCAAGCTCGCGGTCTCTGGGAGTCCCTGCCATTGGGTTTCAACAAACGATCCTTAGCTCGGCAAACGATCCAGGCATCATGTTTTCAGAGTGAGACATCTTACCCAAACGATTCAGGCAAACCGACTGGATGACTGGACTGGACGCCTGGACGCCTCGGAGTGATGTGGAAGGAGTCCAAGCAACGAACGTTTTCCTAATAGCGTCCTTGCTCCTAGTAGCGATGCACTTGTTACTACTAGTAAGGCACTTGTTTCTACTAGCTTCTTGTTACTAGAATGGCTATTCTACGGATACACAATCACATTCTCCAAGCTTGGATGAAGAGCTGGATGTGCTTCCGAGCGTGCAAAACGCGCTTGGATGCATCGCGATGCCAGGATGAAGACTATATGTGGGAGTTGATCTAAATTCCTTTATCCGGGATCCGTCACTTTCGCAAAAAAAAATATTACTTTAGCCAAACTTTCGCCTTCCTGCGTTTTATCTTTCGCCGAAGTACGTTGTATTTATGTGTGCCATGTATGTTGTGTTTTGTTCACGTCAATGGTTTCTTCTTTACTGGCAAACACAAAACTGTCAACTTGGCGAAAGAGACGAAAGTTTTTGGCGAAAGATTTGGCGAAAGTGTTTTTACTGGCAATGAGATTTTGATATGTTCCGGGTCATCGTCATACACAATGCTGTCTAGGACCTTTAGATCGACAACCATGTATATATGAGGGCAACATTGTGTTCAACCAGCTCAGTGTTGGGTCCTCCAAGGCTCAGGCACACTCGAATCGGCCGGTTCCAGCAGCCAGTTTGGTGAAGAGCGATTCACCTAGCAGTAATAGCATTTGAGCAGGCAACAAGCTTGAGTTCCAGAATCCTATGACAACAGATTGAAATGTGCATAGTGGCAAAGGAAATCAGCAATTACAACAAAATCTGCTGGACCATGCGTTCAGTGGGCAGACTGACTCAGAATGCTGACTCAAAATGCTCATCCCACCTTCCAAATGCTCAAAGCATGCGCTGCTTAGGATTGACAAATGCACCTTGATGCTGCCAAAACAGGGATGGCGGGTTTGAACAACTCTGGAGGCTCCAAAAGCACAGATGATACCTTGCAGCGCCTCACATGGAAAGTTTGCTGCCAAGGTCTGTCGTGGTTCAAAAGGACAACAACGCCAGGCCAAGCAAGACTGCAACCAGGTGCCCTGGACCAATGTTTCTAAAACCACAACTTGCACCAACACAACTCATGATTCCCAGTGAAGAAACGGCATCCCCAATTTTGAGATCTGCGCAGCAACTTTTGGTTTCGCCTGGGCAACGTTGCGCCGATCCAACATGTGTTTAACGCTAAAGCATTGAAACAAATCATACCAGCCAACAGCAAAGGTTGCGTGAAAGGATTTCTGTATGCAATTCAAACGGTTGCCTTATCACCAAGCACAAATCCAAATGTGTTGGTGCATGGACATGCATGAACTAAACGCAAACCAGTGCATCACCACAAACCAACTGCGGCGTGAAGCCCCCCAGCCTCCGTCACCATAGCAAACGGATGCAAAAAAGAACGTGTTATGTTGATGGCTCTGTTCGGCTTGTGATATGTGTGACTGGAAGTGTTGCAAACATTTTTAGATATTGTGGGCCACAAATGTGCTGACTCATGGGGCATGTGACATGTGAATAACAAAGTGTGCTTCACTTCAATGGGTCCTGCACCTCTGTATGTAGTGCAAGGCTAAGCCTTTGCCTTTCCAAAACAATCGCGCGAAATACCCGACCTTTTGCTGGGAGACTTCTTGTCGACTCACATCCACCAAATCAATCCAAATAGAGGGCTTCATGTGGAAACAAACCTGGTTGCACGTTACATCTCCAATCCGAAACTGTCAGGTTTCATCGGGCTTTTGGAGTACTTTAACAGTTAGCATCGACTGGACAGGCTGACTACAAAACGTATCCCTTTCACCGTGGGCACTGACACAGCGCAAGCTGTCCAAGGCTTCTCATAGCCTTTGTGGACTGCTCTGGGCATTGGGTTTGAGCAGACTGTCGAATGTCAATAGTTCAACAGAACAGTTTAGACTTGAGGATCCGGTTGGTTTTCCCGTGAAGTCGTCAGTGACTAAGATCGGAGACAGGCACACCGCTGTACTATGCTTTGCTGAAAAAAAGCCACGACCTGTCTTAGTGACTGCGCAACCATCATCCATGATGCGGTTCTGTATCCAGACGCCAAACTTGTCGAACTCAGCTGGTGAGGACCATGTCCAGAACTTGGCTGACCTCATAGTTTCGAGAAACAGCCAGCAGCTTGGGGAGGCATGGCTAGTACAAGTGTGCTCGCCCATACACTTCTCCAGCAAACATTACTGGTGGAAGCAGCCCGGGAACTGGGCGAAGATGGAACGACTGTAGGTCTGGGCTAGCTGTAAGCACCGTCTGGTGTAATGACTATGCAATCATCGGGCAAATGGCCCTTCGTCAATCATCCAAGCTCTGGGTACACTGTACTCAAGCAAACAGCAAGCGCCCGTTGAGCACCATGGTTTCTGGTTCTGATCTCAGCCAACTGAGAAAACGCCACATTCACTCTTGAGCAAACGCCACCAGCCAACCAACACGACCATTGGATGATCAGCCAACCAAGCAAATCCCAGTTCGCCGTGAGGTCGACAACTGCTCACAACTGCTGAGATCGCAGCCCTTCAGCTTGCTGGGTCCCAACACAAACAGAGGCACAAACAGCGTTTCAAGAGATCAAAAGCACGGATGGGCACCCAAGCATGGGGGTAATCGCGGACCCTGAGCACCTGGATGTTGAAACAGAAAAGCCCACCGTTAGTTCACCATCACTCTGAAAAGTGCTCAAGAACCAAGCATATATACAGCAGTATATGATCAGTAAACAGATCACCGGTGAAAACGCTGAGCTAAGTTATGTACTCACTTGCCCCAGACCTGCCTCACCATAAGAAATGGAATGTCGGATCCTTTTCAAGGTCTGCAATGTGAGATAGCGCAGAGATCTCATCATTCATCCTTCCAGGAAGTCCAAAAAATGGGAAACCCACATAGTCCAAAATGCAACGTTTGGCCTGTCGAAGTGGCATACCCATCCCCACGTGGCTCTTTTCGCAGAATCGATCAAGTTTCTGGGGTCCACCGGAAAAGCTGGGCTCAGTTGGTATGACCAAGTGACTGAGCACACCTACGGTCAGGGAACCGAAAAAGCCTCAAAAGAATCGAAAGGATTTGATTTGTTTAAAAAAAATGGTAAGATTGTTGATGAAAACAAAACAAGACTTTGACATTTCTTGCTTTGACTGAATTCGATTCCTGACCTTACGTTGACCCCCAAACAGGGCCATGGACCCCGAGAATGTCAGTGTGGCCACAGTGGGAGAAATTTTTGTCTCGCCGCTTTTGTTCATCTAGAGGCTAGAGATGGCCAGAGGTGGAATTACCTTTGCTCCTAGTAGCGTTCTTGCTCCTAGTAGCGATGCCCTTTGCTCCTAGTAGCAATGCCCCTTGCTCCTAGTAGCGTCCTTGCTCCTAGTAGCGATGCTCCTTGCTCCTAGTAGTTCTTGCTCCTAGTAGAATTTCCTCATCTTCAGCAGTCTTGCACGGCCTCGAATACCCTACCTATCCCTACAGAAGCACTCTGCAACTATCGATGACAAAGAGATCCATGGTTCCTGATGGTTCCTGGGTGGGGCAAGGTCTGGTGAAATCAAGCCGTGTGGACAACAACATACGGTTCTTCTTTGAGTCGAGGGAAGCCGGATGTCACGCAGAGTCGGATTCATGGGCCGAGTCAAGCAAAGACTGCTGTTGGCGCAGAGTGATCATTACAAATATTTCAACAAAAGATACAAATTAATAGATTTCGAGGCTGGGAGACTCCGAGACTCCTTGAAGGCTGAAGGCCCGATTCACGGTTCAACGGGGTTCAATGGGGGTTGATTGCGTTCGATTGAGCTGTTGAAAACCAGGGCTAAGCAGCTACACATCCTGAATCTCTCCCAAGATGAACTGCCTGTGCTCAAATGCTTCATTGGCTCACCTCGGGCAGTGTGTCAGCAACTCAAATGCTTCGAGCACAGCTCCAGAGTTGGAGATGATTTGAAAGCCCTTGACATCTTCGCTTTCTTCGCTTCCTGAGGTCTAGTCACTAGTCTTGTCTTGCCGGTGCTTTATCTGTTTAACTGGCACACTGGGGAACTGTCATATATAATTAACTATATAGTATAGATAAATAAAGGAGCCATTCTCGTATGGTATGGAGAACTCTAGTATTGCCCGATCAAAACTTGCCTTTGTCTACTCAGACTATCTCACCACTTTCTTGAGATCTGAACAATTTCCAAACCCCCTGACTTCCTTCAAACCGCACTAAACCGCCCTGCGGGCCGAACACAACCCAAGGCTTGGAGGGTTTCAGCAACTCTAGCTGGATCACCTAAAAAATAACATTCCAACTCGGACACCTTCGCACGCCCAGCTTGCTAGTGGCAGTCTTTACCTGTGAGGCCCCCACAAACTTCAGAAGAGCTGCGGCCAATTCTCCCAGCCTCAGGGGCAAACCAAAACCATCTAAAATTATCTGTCCAGCGTCAGGGGCATGATTTGTTCTATCTAATACAGCATTCCTTTTCCTATTCTCAGGCTGACACTTTTGGCTAGGATCCGCGATGACACTGAGGGGGACGTTGACATTATACTTTTTATTGAAGAGATTCCTGGCGCAAGATCGAGCAAGGAGTTCTTCTGGAAAGCAAGTCGCACAAACAAATGACTTCAAATTGCAAAGTTCTCTGTTTGCAATGACGCGGTTTGCAATGACGAGTAATTACTTTGAACGGGAAGCTCTCTCAACAAGGCTTTAGCGCTACTGCCTGGGCAATCGAAGCTCATCATTGACCAGTCTTTCTGCTCAAGACTGGACTCTAAATGCATCCAATACTGGTCCATACTTTGTATTATTTTTCACTTAGCGCTTGGAAACCGCCAACCCTTTCCTGAGCTGAACCAGCTCTAATGAGTCCAGGCCTAAGGTCGTGAATCCTCCGGACCCTACCAACGACTACAGCTCTCTGACTCTCTGCGTTCAATCATTCGTTGTCACAATTCAAGGAGACACTGTATCAACACCTGTTCCACAAGCAAATCCACTGAGGCTTAATGTTACTCGAATAAAGAGAGCCATCCCCTTCACGGAAACTGCATGGCGTTTAAATATAATTGGGGCAAAATAGGGAAAATGCTTATCTTTTGCCAACAGAAACAAGACAAAGTCTGCAAATGCCTGAGATCTGTGCCGAGTTGATGTAGCGACTTCCCCTTAACTCGGCCCCTTGGTGGAGACTTTGCATCGGCGACGCTTTGCTGATCGAAAATACAGTAGGACGACGGACAGAAAGGTGTATGAGCGAGGAATTCCCGGGTCAATATTGCATTCCCGCCATGGAAATGACTGAGTCTCCTTACTTGGACCACGCATGCAAGTATGCAGTGTAAAGCCTGGTGTGTTGACGACGAACACGCTGCAGCTTTGCTACGGCCTACAAAAAATCGCGTTCGGGCAATGCCTAAGATCCGCCACTGCTGCGATGTGCGTGTTCAGTCGTTTTCATGATGTGACATCCCTCCACCTAATAGCGTCCTTGCTACTGCTTTGCCTTTTTTCAGTGCAGCCATCCTGGAGTCACAGGATGCGCTTTTGCAGATGTTACCTGTCTTCGATTTTTAGCAGGGAGGCCATCCATGGTCCATGTACAGTGCGCAATGATCCGACAAAGCTGTCACATAACATACATATACATATTACATATAGACACATACTTAGGCAACCCTGAAGACATATTATATATACATATTGGGTTGGGCGACCGCTTCTTCAAATACTTTTTCATGTGTGCTATCCGCATGGATACCAAAGCTGGCTCAGAATTGTCACATCGACATGACACACAATGACAGCCCGCAGCAGGCTCTTACTGGGGTTAATCCTTGTACAAGCTCTGCTAAAGGGTCTACATTTACATGAATTCAAAAAGGAATTAGCACTATCAAGCCAATGCGGCAAGATAGGAGCAACCACTTGATGTCAAAAGCTGGACAAAGCGCCGTCAGAATCCGAAAATGAACTTCGTGGCAGCTTGAGTGTGCTTGAGTTTCTGGTCAACTTCAATTGCACCACTCTGACAAGGCCCAACCTGACACCCCCATGAGTTGTATCTGATGTGATAAGTTCGTATGACATGGAGGCTGCACTGGTCTTAGCCCATGACCAGGTGCCTCCACCTGCTTTGGCTTGTTGTGACAGGAAGCCCTCAGAAACGGCCGGCCGAGTGTTGAGGACGTGCGTTAGCCACCAGCACAAAGTGTTTTCACGCCAAGCGACCTCAGCGATTTGGCTGACATTGTTCAATCCACAATCCAACCCCACCCCAGCCAAAGCCTTGATGTGGTAAGCTTGGGTTTCATCTGGTTCTGAACGACATGAGGCACTGTCGCACTCCACATCCCCAATGTGAGCCGCTAACCAGGACCAACTCTGCACGATGCGTGGCCCGAAACAGGCGTCAACCAATCAACTGCAGGAGTCTGCTGGGTCCGCAATCCTTTTCTCCCGACCAAAGCGACAACCTGTGCCCTAACCCAACCCTCCCTTGTCCTGTCTTGGGTCTAATGGTTTATTGTCATCCATCTCCTCTCAAACATGAAACATGAGTGATTGGAACGCTAATTTTTTCCGAAGGATAGCACTTCCACTGCGCGAGGTGGAATCCTTTGGCTGGCAACCACCGTCCACGTCTCATCAAATGTATAGTAAATGGTGAATACAAACGGAATTTGGTTCGACAAACTACGACATACTCATGTTCTTGTGAACCGATGTCAAGTTTCATAGCGCACAGTCTCTCGGGCATCTGTGATGTTTCTCCCGATACTGAAAAAGGTACGGAAGGATCAGAATGATTGGAATGATGAGTGGTCACCAGTGGTCACGAATGGTCTCTTGTATCATCATCTTGTATCAAGCCCACAATGGAAACACACTTCACGCCTGGATGGAGCTCTCTTTGGAACCATCCTCCTGCGGCTTTGTTGAGCTCTGAATAAACTTAGTTTGAGGTCTTCATCAATGTGTTATTCGTTATTTGTCGTTCTTGGTTCTTTAGGCAATCTTTTTCCAGTGTATATTCATTTATCCACAATGCATCGACTTTTTCCGACTTCTCCACGCAACAAGCTATACTTCATTGGCTCCTCCGGGGCTCGTGACTCTTCCTCACGTGTCCCTGCGTCAGAAGTTGACTGAATGCAGTGGACTCAAATCGCAAAATTAAGGAATAGAGTTTGGGTGTTTGGTAAATTGTGGCAATTCAAGACTCTCAAACTTTGACCATGGGTTCTGCTAGCGGAAGCGGAACACATGGGTAATAAAATGCACCAGCATAGCCCCGAAACAGCACTTCGGCAGGTGCATTGAGTTTGAAACAGAAACAAGCTAGAAGACACTGCTGTGGGAAAAGAGATGAAAAGAGTGATGTTTCCGAGGCCAAGAAAACTGGAAGACTGAGAGAACTTCAAGTTGAGAAACGGACGCAAAGGATCCGAAAGTTGCCGTCTAAATCGAAGGCGAGAGCAACACAATTGATATATATATATATATACAGTTACAACTGGCTTTTGGGGGGATTGGCACCGGGGAAGGGCAGCTAGCAGCCAATGTGCTAAGCTAAGTGGAAGCCATCTACTTACAAGGACACAAAGGAGGAAGGGTGTCCAAAAAGGCCAATAATTCCTTGACAGTCACACTAGTGCCCCCTGCCAAATGCCACCGTTCCGAGGCAGCCCAACTGTCATGGACGTGGTCGAGAATAGGCAAATCCTGCAACAACTTGGCACCGCGGCGGATGCGAAGTGGGATGATCTTTCTTGGTAGCAAGGTCGCTACTAGGAGCAAGCGCATTACTACTATGTAGTAGCTAGAAGCTACTGTATAGTAACCTAGTAACAAAGGATGATCTTTCTTGGTTGGTTGTGAAATGTGGATGTCCAGCATTCTGATGTCTTGGAGCTCGGATTGGTCATATCCATAACGGAAGGCGCGCCCACAGGCATGAACTAGAAGTGGCCCAATCCTGCTGAGTGGGCGCAACCTGATTCATCTGGCACCGGCAAGCTGCGGTTTCACAAACTCAAGATCATGGTTGTTTCATGCCAAACCCAGGTGGTCGCCCGTCGGCTCATTCTCCTTCCACTGCGATTTCTCCCATTGCACATCACATGCGCAAAGCTGCGAAACGCCCTGAACCTGACAGACTGAAGGTCTTGTCGCTGCAGTCGAAGTGTCTTAAGAAAACAGTGGGCGACTCCGAATTCATTACATTCTCCCAAGAAGTTGTTTAGACGACTAATGATAACCGTTCACAACGCCACTGGTGATGAAAGCTGAATCTACTTTCTATAGCTTTCTACCTCATCCCGACTCTGCAAAACTTATGAAAGGTCACTCCTGTCAGTGCTTTATAAGGTCTCCGAAAAAGCCTACAGTATAGCAACTACTCTTACTCTTTTCTCTTTTTTTTTCGGAGGCCAAACGCAAGCTTTAATGGAGACCCTTTGCTCAGATCTGAGCTGTTTGGTCCCCAAACGAAACTCTTGTGAGTCTTGTAATATTCTGGTATTTGGGACAGTCTGTGCTTCTCTGCCCCATGGTACTATGCAACTCGGGTTGACTCTGTATTGACTAAAGAAGCACTTGCAAGCCTTTTCATTTGCCATCTGCTGTGTAAAATCAGCTGTGGCAAAGTGGCTGGGCACAAGTTCGAGTACATGGTCTCAAGTGAGGAAGACTTTGATCAGCGTAGCGTGTTTTTTGATTATTGCCAAGTACAATGCAAAGGGATGCAAAGGGCTGAGAATCGAACACTGATCTTCAAATTCAATCATCATACACTCAAAGTGAAGGTTCTCTACCATAGTCATTCCTTGCTGAATTGAACCGTGCCTCCATCGCTTGGCATACAGCAACAAATAGGCAAGCCAGCGCAGTCCGCGTCGAAAGCGGCCTTGCATGTGCGAGCTGAAATTATATACGTGTATATATACAATAGTTGTCCAACAAAGGAAGTGTCAGTGTGTCACGCTTCTTTCGTTGGTGCAGGGTCAAACATATCTGATTGGTCCAACTTCTGGCATCTTTTCTGCGAATCTCTGTGCTTGTCTACAAGATCTACAAGGATCCGAGGGCACGAGACAAAGCGAGCACGGCACAGGAAAGGACACACCATGTACAAATCGCCACGACGACCGAGCTATGCACGAACGACAAATGCTTGACCAAGAAATGAGCCATGACTCTTGACTCAGACATTATGTCATAACGACTGCGACACGAATACATACCATAATCACTCCCACCAAACCGTGGCATTGCTGCAACCCGCTGGATCAAATAGGATCCAACAAGTCCAAAGGAGACACCACCTACTCAAAAGAGTATTGTTCATATGTGCCTCCTCAGTGCACCATCACAAGCACAGTAGTCGCCTGTGACCGTGTCCTTGGAAGCCTACAAAAATCTACGAGGCCATTCATGCCCCAACTCACAGGTTCAGCGTCATGCGCTGCTTCTCGTGGGCAACCATGGCCAGGACGCCGTCAAGAATGAATCCAACATGAATGTATCATCACACCATTCACCCAACCAGGACACACCACAAACACCATGGCCTGGCAACCTCAGAACATGACCACAAACCACAGCATGAGTCAAACATAGTCAACCATATCAATGTGAAGGGCACCACCAAACACCCGACCTGACCAGGAGTCAATCAGCACCAAACCTACGATGCAAATGAGTTTGATATAGTTATGCTAGCTGAAAGTGGTAGTTGTTATTCTACAACATAACTAGCATAGAGCTAGGGATCAGGCGTGTCACCCTCTTTCACGGCTTGCTCGTAGGCCTTGGTGCCTTCCTGCGCCGCTTTTGGGGTCATCTCATGGGCATCAACAAAGGTTCAAAATGTTTGAAGCTGGTATTGTAGAACACAATCTTTGGATATCTTTGGTGATGTTGCTGAGAGTGCAACACACCCGAACCACATTGTCAGCTTCCGGTCCGCGTTGGATGCCAAAAAATATCACTTCGCAAGTTCGAACGACGCTTGCAGGGTTTCTGAACTACATGCACCCTGTCAGGTTATTGGGAAGGAAACAAGGTAAGGGAGTGAAACGGAATGAAAAGGGACGCAGCTACAGTAAGCTATGGAAAGGCATCAAAGTCAGGTGGCTAAGTGCAAGTATCGGCACTCATACATCAAAAGGGACGGCTGTGAGCCTGCGCCATGCCCGCTTCACCTCAAAAGACCCACCAAAAGGGTAAGCCAGCTACTGTGAAGAATGCGGCTATGCTGGAGAGCCCTCAGCTTCTTCAACCAAATATTGCCCTTCTCAAAGAACGACTTCTTGTTCTTTCATCGCACTCACTGAAGTCGTTTGAATCTCTAATGACTTGACAGTAGTCTCCCACCGTCTTCCGTGGGATTCTACAGATGTGCTTGAAGTTTCATGTCAATGGAGCTGGAACTCAGATACATAAACTGCTCAAGCTGTCAAAAGCCATCTGAGATGGCAACCCCATGGACCCCAATTCACAGAGATGATGCGGCATGACGTGGAGTCCCCCTGCAGGGACACTCGATGACAAGGTCTCGAGTAAGTCATGGTCGTTACACGTCTTCATCGGGGCCGTATTAAAGGAGTATGGTCCGCGGATGGGTCCCGCGACGTGACGGTCATGACGGTGTGGACGCTGACGCTGACGTGACGTTGACGTGGCTGAAGGCAAATGATTGGCGACGACGCCGTGACGTGACGCTGACGTGACGCGACGTTGACGAATGGCATTCAGATGTACTTGCGATTGGCGATGACGCCGTGACGTGACGCTGACGTGACGTGATGTTGACGAATGGCACGCAGATGTACTTGCGGTTCGCGTTGACGTTGTGACGTGACGTTGACGTGACGTTGACGTGACGTTGACGTGGCCGAAGGCAGATGATTGGCGATGACGCCGTGACGTGACGTGACGTTGACGAATGGCGTTCAGATGTACTTGCAATTGTCTTTGATGCTGTGCATGACGTGACGTTGACGTGACGTGACGTTCACGAGGGCAGATGTATGCCGGCAACGTGACGTTGACGCGGACTTCTTCGTAATATGTAATCCCCCATGGGATTATGGTAGTCACATATGATCGGCTGTGACGTCAACATGTGGAAGTACTATGTGGAGCTAGCAGTCAGAATATGGTTACAAAGCCTGGAAAGAATCTGTACCAAAAAGCAGTTAGAATATGCGTGGGTCTGTGCCTGTCACTTGCTGGAGCATCGTGCTCACATGTGGTGACAGTCTTAACCTGCGGAACTTCTGCACTTCTCTTCCTGTAGTCTTCTATTTTCTGTCTTCTTGTTCTCTGGGAGGCACGGTGTTTTTTTTGACGGGCAATTAGAATATGTTTCCAGGGATGCCTCACTGTAGTAGGGTCGTCGACCTCATGTTGTTACTAGGTCGCAGTCGTCATTGCGGGCATAGTAGTAGTAGAAATAAAAACAAGAGTAATAAAAGTAAAAGGTAATAATGGTAAGACTAGTAGCAGGAGAAGTAGTGGTAGCAGCAGCAGCAGCAGTACTAGTAGTAGTAGTAGTAGTAGTAGTAGAAGTAGTAGGAATAGTAGTGGTAGCGATATTTGGCAAGGCAGCTAACTTGCAACTGCTAGGCACTTGCCTTAATGTGGAATCTCTTCTTCGGCGAAGTGAGACGCTGACGGGCCACATGGAATTGCAGTTGGGCAGTTGGTGATGGGATGTTACATGATGGTGGTTGCGATGGGACATTGCCAAATCCAAACAACCCCTTTTGGCGCAGACGTGTTGCGGGCGTGTCACACTGATGCGTGGACAGTATGAGGAAGGCCCAGACCAATACATAATTAATAGTAATAAGTAGTGTATTATTAATAGCGGCGGCAATAGATCGTTTTTCCCCAAATAGTGCTCCGCACTAAGGGGTTCTTACGGTAAGAGTTAAGGGCCGGGTTTAGATCAGGGTTCGCGCGTGTGGTTGCGGCATTTTGCGTGGGCCGGCTCGCACAAAAGTTACTTTTTGAATTCCTCATGTCCATTTCGACTGCGCAGGCTCGCATAAAGTGGGCGTCGCGGGTTTCGCGCTTCCGGGACAAAGCTCTCGCGCAGGTGCCGTGCTCGTTTTCGGACATGAAATGCATTTTGCGTGGCAGGCGCAAGGAATTCGACACATTGGAGCCTCGAAAAGGTCATTTTACGTGGCAGGTGCAAGGAATCGGAGACTTTGCAAATTTCGTGGCAGGCGCAGTGTTTTGTGGACGTTGCAAAAACGTTGGCAGGCGTGTGTCATTCGCAGGACTGCGTTTCACGTGGCAGGCGCAGGGAATCCGCACCATGGATGCGATATTTTGAGGTGAAACGGCTGAATTCGTGAGAGGGGTCGCATTTTTGGAATTTGAACTTGAGGATGCTTTTGCGTGGCCAGGGCAGCATTTCGTATGACCTGCAGGCATGATTTCGTGGCAGGCACAGCATTTCTGAAACACAATTCAAAATTTGCGAAGCCTCGTGCAATTTGCTCATTTTGGATCTCCGATGTGCAGATTTCCTGGCAGGCGCAGCACTTTGTGAATCTCGATGCGCAGGTTTCGTGGCAGGCGCAGCACTTTGTGAATCTCGATGCGCAGATTGCGTGGCAGGCGCAGCACTTTGTGAATCTCGATGCGCAGATTTCGTGGCAGGCGCAGCACTTTGTGAATCTCGATGCGCAGATTTCGTGGCAGGCGCAGCACGAGGGTTTTTTTTAGCCTACCTCAATCGCACTTGTGGCAACCCCGTGTGGGTAAAGGCTCTGCTCAAACATGGAACCAAATACCTGGCCCCCTTGTTGTTGACTCTTTTGGAGGCGCGTGCCGCCAATCCGATTTCGCGCGGCGGCCGGGTTCTTTGGCGCCACGTGGATGCCGAGTATGATTCATGGCTTGCGTCCTCCGGCTTCGTCGCATCCTTCACCTCGTCCCACGCGGTTGCGCTGGGGCGGCCCCTCGCATCGGAGTCGCACGCACTCGCAGCTTGCCACTGCATGCACACGCGGAAAACATGCGCGTCTGTAGCTTTTTGTTTTACAACGACCTTCAAGCCATACTGCTCTAGCATTTTTGGCACTACGTTGGTCGCACTCTCCTCCTTACAAACTCACGCCTGGTCCCTCTTTCACATGCTTCCGCATCTGCTGCTCTCATCTGTGCACTCTCACATTTGTGCTCTTGTATGTATCCTCTCATATTTGTGCTCTCATCTGTGTGCTCCTTCTTTCCTTCCACGTGATGCCATGTTCCATCTGTTCCTCTTTACACTATTTGGGGTCCCTTGCCGGTGTAATTTGTAAGTTCGCGCTAGCGGAATTATTGGGCGGTAACAGATCACTCATGACAGATCCGAGTATCCGCAATGTACCCGTCTACTGCTAGTGACTTTGCTGCGTGAGCTGTTGTATTTCCTTGGTGTCCGGATATCATCACCCGTTGACATCTCGAACGTAGCGGCCTCGCATTTCTGCAACATCTGTTTACAAAAGGAGCGATAGGTTGGACGGCGTGGAAATCAATATGAAATACGCCCAGCTTGGTTTGGCGATGGAAGGCACAGACGCAGCGGAGCAATCTGTCCGTAGCTGGTACGCAAACTGCTGGCAGCCGTCCCACAGCATGGAAAGGCACACAAGCTGTTTGCAGCCGGCCACGGACAGAACTGGAGCACTTTTTTCATCATCTTCTTGGCTTCACTCTCCTGCGCTTGTTGCCAGGCTGCTGCGCATCCATTGCCAAGAGCTGGCGAAAATGCCTGCCGGTCACCTTGCAGCAATCCATGAGCAGGTTGTGATAGTAGACACTCCGGTGACGACCGTCACTTTGTTTGGGGGGAGCAAAAAAGACTATCTTCACGTCCTTACCCTCATCCTCTAGAGTTGCAATGGGAAAGGCCTGCGTCGCGGCTTTCATTACTGTTTCCCACTGCTTCTTTGTGACGCCGGCTCGGACTTTCCTGCCATCGTCCTGCTCCACCACTCTCCGCAGGCGGCCTTGAACCATCGTCCAAGTCACGACCGGCTTGCCCACAAGCACTGTTGCCTGGCAAATCTCTCGATCTGTGAACAAAGGCTTCTGTCCGCGCTCGAGAGGTTGGACAGTCTTTCCATCAGCCCCGTACCCATCAGACAAGCTGCAGGCAGTGTCAGGCGTCTTCACTTCGAACACCTCATCAGACGATGCATCATGAAGCGCTGGCAGGGCTTGCAGCTCGCCTTCCACAGCCTCGTCATCGGGCAGGGGGTAGGTAGCATGAAATGATCTGGTTGGGTTGCAGGGAAGGGCAACCCCAATTGAGTGGCTGGCATACCTGGCGGAACCAAATCCCCACGCACAGACCCCGCCACATCAGCGCCAGGGTAGATTTGCTCCTCCGGCATATTGACGGTGTCTTCCACCCATGCATCCCGCAAAGCTTCAAGGACCTTGTGCAAACTCTTGGCGCGGGCCACATACGCACGGCCAAGGAATACTTCCGGCCGTTCCGCATTGGAAGGTGGTGACAGGGAGTGAGAATCCACGAAAATGTCCCACGCAGCCAGCAGCAGCCAGCACGGCGCACAGCAAGCCTTGCTTCCAGGGCCCAACTCCATGCCGAGCAGCAACGTCATACTGCCCTTTCTCCTGAAGAAGGCACAAAAATCGAAGCATGGAACGATGAGCAGGGTTTTGTGGACTCCCCTTGACAAATTCAACAAAAACAAGAAACATGAAATAGACAGTGGTAAGCGTCTGTAGCCAGAGTTGCTAGCACAGAGCTTTGAGTCCGCATGGTGGCAAAAAGCTTCTTGGCCGATTCATCAAACAGAAGCGTGGTGTGAGGAGGGAAGAAGCGCAGCACCCGTTCTGCAGCAGGCTGAAGAGCATGTTGTGGAGGTAAAGGAACATCACGGTCGCCCATGCGGCATTCTGCCGTCGCTATTGCTGCTTGTCCGGGCTCAATGCGGTAGCGCCACCGGGTTTTGACCCCATCCGGCAGCTTCATTTCATAGCCAGCTGCATTGGGTAAAAACCGAACACCTCGAGCAACGTCAGCATCATCTGGGTTCAGTTGGCCAAGAGCTTCGTTGTCATTTGATGCTCTGGCCAGTTTTCCTTCTTCCACAGCTTTCTCTGCAGCATCCGGATCAGCGAGCAAAGACCGGAGACCGCACAAGGAAGCCATGTCAGGATCTAACTCTGCCCACACCCAAGGTGCGTGACCATCAGCAAGGATGTATTCAGGCGGCAAAGGGCTGTGTGGTGGGATTGGCTCCGCTGTGTAGAACATAATGCGCTCCTTGGTGCGCCCAACATGGTTCCCAATTTCCGCCCTTTCCATGGGCAACGCGACTTCCGGGTGCATGTTTGCCATGATGGAAGAGCTCACTGGCGGCGTGGCACCTTCGCCAAAGGTACCGCTGGTCTTGGTTGTTCTGGAACATTCTCCAAACTGGAGCAAGCGGTTCAACTCCCCCGTGCTGATTGACTGCCAGCGCCGCAGCTGCACCTTTGCGCGAGTCGTCAG